ATTAAACATTTGTATGTTATGACTAATTTATCATGACTTAAAAAAAAAAATCACATCAGTTCACAAATTCAGAAGTCCATATGAGCAGGAAGTTTACATATAAGAGTATCTAAATCAATCTCTGAAATTAGCCATTCAAAACCAAATTGAGGGGCAGCCTTGGAAGAAACTCCTTGAGTATATGAAGGATGGCAGCCACTGGACATTGTGGCTGTACCAGAAGGTACGAACCTGCCAAACAGCAAATACAAATGCAGTTTACACTGCATATTGAATGGATGAAACAATTCAGAGTAACATCTTATTTATTTGACCCATAACCTAAATCTGCCAAGTAAATATTCACATTGTCTCATAATCAAAGACTTAACCTAAAACTCATTAAATCATAAAAAGGAACACCAGGGAAACTTCTTGCATTTTACACTACAGTATACTTGAACAAGCAATAGCTTTTTCTGAAATGTTTTGCACTATTGTAGAAAACGAGATAGGAAGCTTTGGGGACAGATTTTTCCAGGTATTTTATACAATGTTTTCTACATTCTGCATTTTCTACAGTCTACAGCAGTGAGAACACTGCTAGTTGGTATGCTGACTTTTAGAAGAGCAACTTTTTTTTTTTTTTTTTTAAAATGTAGGTCCCATTTTAACTCAACTCTCTACAGTGCTTCCTGTCTGAAAGTTCAAAAAAGAGCTTTAAGAGCCCAACTTAGACAAGAATGCTGTATGCAGCAGTTCAGGCACATATAAATCCAAAGCTTCAGAGTCCCTTTGTTTACTTGGCCACAGCTTCCCTGTGCTTAGTCTTGACATATTTCACTTTAATTATTTATAGCATTTTCATTAATGAAACTTAGTTATGAAAATGAGGATATGAAGAAAGCATTACTTATAAGAGGGATATTAGCCTTTGGCAAGACAATCCCCTAGCTCTATATTAAATTAGGCCTGAGGGGGGAAAAAGAGTGAAAAAATTACCAAATTATTTTATTAGTCTGAAATACTTAAAGGAAGTGTTATCATCTTCAGCAAAACAGTCTGAGAAAACTGTTTCATCTTTATTACTTGAGTTTGGCCAATGCACTGCAATTCATAAACGTTGAAATAAAGTATTCCTAGGTTTGAATTATTTGAATTCATACACATTTAAGCTCACAAAATTTCAAGTCTGACCTTCCACAGACAGAAATTCCAGGGGGAAGAAAGGATGTTCACCCAATCTGAGTTTGCTTTACACAGTGTGTGGAGGTCTCCCTTAGGCTTTGGTAAATAGGCTGACAGAAATATATACAAACAACTTATAACTCTGTCCTCACATCATCTGAGTGCCACTTAAAAGTAATTCTTTTAGAGGTGCTCTCTGCTGAACAGCAAAGCCAGCGTTCATTGGAAAGAAGCAGCAAAAACAAAATAAAAATGTTAACTTTGAAAAAAGCTTCAGAAGACTGAAAGTACAAAATGAGGAAAACAACACTTGTAAAGAATCCTACCAGTAGAAAAGAACATTTTTGCTTAATCGTTTCCACGTTAGTATTAATTATTAAACAATTATTTCAACATCAAAGATGGCACAAGGGATGGAAGACATCAACTGGTAAATCAAACCACACTGATCACTCTTCCACTACGAACGGAATTTTGCAATAGCTATTTCTGTTTCTTCCTGGCTGACTGCGATTATAAAAATATTTGTATTTTGAAATAACCTGAAAGTATTCTGAAATAATTCTCTTTCAGCACATGTGGAACGCGGCCACCTCCAGCTACCCTAAGGCTACTAAAAAATGTTTCGACTCTCAGTAGTTTCAGGTGGTAGCCAGTAACCTTTCATCGTTTTGGTCCGGCAGTTCCTCAGCACCAGCTTGTCACACAGAATCCGTAGCAGAGTCACATCCAGCCTGCAGATTTCTCCCAGACTGTCACAGCACGGAGATCCCCACTAGCACAGAGGCAAGCCGTAAGGAAATGCAAGTGAATGTAAACTGTACATTAATACATGATCTTTAAAAATACTTTGTGTGTTTTAATGGCATTGCAGCCTATGCCAAATGCCACACAACTCCTCGAGGAGGGGTTGATATTCTGTTCTAAGGGCCATATGAACTATGGCCCTTCATTTTCTTGAACTAGGGATCAGCAGTTCATGTAAGAAGCCGCTGGCCAGTGTCTGGGAAGCGGTTTTAGCCCCTTTGAAATACACTGAGGCACTTAACATCATCACTATTTACATGCAGGTTTGGTATATAAAGCAAGGAGGAAGAGAAAAATGAAGAAAGACCCAAAAACAGGAGGGGTGGCATTCCAAGAAATGCCTTTGCTCAGCCAAATAATTTAGTTATAAGGCTTGTTCCTGCACCCATTGCCTCACAGAGGGTCTTTGCCTTGACCCACACAGGAACAAATACAAATAAATTTTTTTATTACCCCCCAGCCCCCAGCAAGGAAAACAAGGTTTCCCACAAGTATTTGTCAGAATCGACTCTATTTCAAACATTTAGGCACGAAAACTTCTCTGGTTTTAAAAACTAACTCAGAGTTCTGGGCTTGAGAGAAAACACATTTGGCCAAAGCAACCTGCTCTCACCACGGGGCCCCGGCACCTTTGCCAGCATCAGCCGCAGCTTCCTCAGCGAGGCTGTGGTAGCCCGTCCCCGCCGGCGGCCCGGCAGGTATGCCGGTGCGCAGCTGCATCAACCTTGCAACTTCTGCAAGACCCTCACGTGGTCTTGAAGCGAAGCATGTGTGGAAGTACAGGAGAACAGCACTTCCAATCAAACAGGAGCACTCTGAAATACCCATTACTCTTCGTCCACCTGCATGTTCTGGAAGAGGACCAGGTATGCGGTGAGGACTCCCCGCAGGGCGAGACAGACCCTCTTAAGGACCTTCTGTGCCTCTTGGAAAACAATTAATAAAAAAAGAAATAAAAAATAAACAACAAAAGAAAATTGAAAAATAGAATGCAAGAGACACCACATTGAAAAAGGAATTGCAGATTTATTTCTTACATACAAATATCCTGTGCAATGCAGAGTGAGAGGAAAACATACAAGAAAATTATTCCTGTTCCAACATACAGAAGACTATACATCACTTTTTAATTTCTCTTCAATTAAACCTGACTTTGAAAGTCACATTGCATGGGCTGTACTGGCAAGTAGGCAGAACTCTTCAGTAAGTAACAAACAAGAACATACAGTGTGGGAAGCTACACAGACCTATTCGAAAAGCACAGTGTATATTTTAAAACAAACGTCTTTCAGCTTGGGTGTCAGTATTTCAAGTCCCATCTGAAAGACGAACGCACCAGAGGAAAATCGCTCCTCTAATCTCCAAGAGGTTTGAGTATACACTGCAATCACTCCACCGTGTTCCTCTGCCAAAAGCAACAATGACTTTAAAAAAAAAAAAACCACCACCACTGTGAGGCGTGATCTTGTGGAAAAAATATCTTACTGGAATTCCTTCTAGATGATGAAATGATAGCACATAGCACGTAAACATCTAGGTGAATTTGAGAAAGTTGGATCTTTCAAGGAACAGCAACCTGGAGAGCTGATGTCTCCTGATTTGAGAAGGCTCAGGCTGCTCCGCAGCCAGACAGACTTGGCAGTTCAAAGTAAAGAGGGCAGAAGAAAGCAAAGTGCAGGAAAAGAGTGGCTGAAAATCAGAGGACGTTTTACAACTGTCTCGCCAGCCTTCATGTTCACTGACCCACAGAGACCTTTCTCCCCCCGCCCCACGATTTCTCCCCAAGCTGCAGAGGCACTGCCCTACACACACACCAACCTCGCTCTAGCTGCACACCCTCCTCCTCGCTTTGTGAGGGGACATGGCTGCTCCTGAACACCTCGATCCCATGGGGGTCATCAGTCCACCACCCCTGATTAAAGGCTTGATCCTGCTGTCCTCGTTTAGGCACCAGTCCTACCAAAATGCCTCTTATGCACCATATCACAAGCCCACAGATCCCTTGCTGCCTTGAGCTGATAGCATCCTTTGGACTACACCAGAGGGTAGAAGGGCAAGCACATCTTTAAATAGTAAGGCCATACTTGAATTTGCAGGATATCCTGGCATTCTGCAACCTAGAGACCAAACTTGCCGTTAGGTAAAGGCAGCATAGCTCTGAACTGATTTTATGAGAGTAAGCCAAACTAACTCGGTAAAAAGCTACCCAAAAATCCCGAGCCAGTTGTAGAAGACTGACAAATTTTCAAATGTATCCAGCTATTATAAGCAGCGATCTTGACAGCAGACCTCCTGAAGTTTGTTTAAGCCTGCCAAAACTGACACAGGACTGAAAAGGAAAAATAAAAAGCTCCTGGAAAAACAAACAAGAAATTTCTATTAGTCTATTTCCGCTTAGGCTTTATAAAGTCCTTCGGCAGCATTTCGCAATACTTTTTTGTTTAATTATTTTAAACCAGCCTTCCCCTGCAGCTGGGGAAGCTCTTCCCATTTGAAAAGTGTGCTGTCTGAACCCTGAGATATTATTTTGAGCTCCTCCAAATACATCATGTGTTTTTGTGCCTTTCTCCCTCCATGAGCTAATGACATTTTGCAGCAGGCTTCAGCGCGGCAGCCAGGGCTGCGGAAGCAGAGTCAGGCCTTTCTCAAGCAATGCCACACCCTTAGCAGGGGAAAGAAGACGCTGAAATAAAGATAAAAACACTAAGGCTGAAAAAGCGGGAGGTAGGCGTTTGCAGCGAGGTAATCTCTCTCAAAACAAAGTCAGCAAAACCTCCGTAACCCAGATTTTTCTGTGGCTCCTCGAGAAGCAGTTCAGGAGCAAGGGGCTTGGGGCGGGGGGGTGCTTTTGGGCAGCTACGGGGTATGTTGAGAAACACAGAGCTGTCACCCACTCAGTACATATTTTGTCTTTTAGTATACTGTGCGTGTTTGTCTTCCGGGAGACAAAGAAATGTACTTTATTAGTTACACTGTAGTATTCTAAGCAATGAATTGAAATATATCATTAACATCCAGGACAAGCTTTATCTTGCTACCAAAACAAAGAGACCATTCTTTGAACAAATTGAGGGGGAAAATCCCATAATGACAATGAAGAGTTCCTCTCCCTAAAAACTGCGCTGCACAAGAGTAACAATTACAGGCTTATATTCTACAGACTGGGGTTGCGAATAGCTGCATGAAGCGATGCATTCACTATTGGGAGAGTAAGTACCATTGATGACAAGGCCTTGGGGCTTCTGCTGTTCGCAGACCAATCAATAATCCATTATGAACAAACTACATTTCCCCTCTAATATGAAGAAATGAATAAAAGAGAACCAGTATCACTAGTACTTTCATGGAAAAAAACCCACAACAATGCAGAAATCACAAAATGCCATCACAAGACTTAAGACTACTGGTGATGTCTAACACTGACAAAACTACCCATAATAACCCTTTATTTTACAGCAGTTGTTGGGCACCACTACATTATAGTCCAAAATAATAAAAAAAAATAATAAAGGAAGCTTATTTTAAAAGCAAGATTCTTTCAAGACTACTTATTCTGGCTGCAGGACAAAACAAAAAAGCAACATTAATCTTTCAAGGCAAGGAGAAGAAGATGAACTAACTTCATCCGTGTATCTACCAGTTTGCTTCAAACTATTTTCTAATGCAATGTAAATAAGAACTTCTAATTAGAAACAACTGTCCAAATTTGGCTGGTCAACCATCACAAAACCTCACTGCAGCAGCTGTGTTACCATCGAGACACGAGGGCCTGAAATTATTGTTCTCCCATTGTCACTGTCACATGCTACAATACAATCCAGAGAGGATCCATTTAAACAGCAAAACCATAGCAAACCTCAGCATCCTCAGTCCAGTCCTACCTAAACCTCTCAACACAGCACCAGAAGGTAGAAGAAGAGAAAAGATCTCCAGAAAAATTAGAGATGAAGTACTTAAATTTAAAAAAAAAAAACAAACCACTTTACTGATTTTTTTGATGGGTAACCATAAATTAGATCCAAAGGAAACACTGAGGCCAATATTATTAATGCGTAAGCTAGTCTATGTCCTTTTTCTGAAATATAAAGACTAGTAGTTAAAGTTGACCTCGCGGGCTGGGGGGCTGGGGGAATGAATACACAATGTGATTATTGATCAGCCCTAGAAAAGCCAAGAACTGCACTAGTGCAGATGTGATTCTTTTTTTCCTGGGGTCATTGATGATATATGTTGGAAAGTCAAAAGCTTTTTATTTTGACATGCTGTAATAGTATCACTAATTCTGAATACAAGCATCATCTTAGGTTCAAAAAATCTTAAAAAACCCCCACAAACAAACAAACAAAGCCCTCCATTTTACTTCAGTTTAACAATAATGCTTTCCTCTTTGGCTACACCCACCAAGTGAGTTACTTTAGCGTCTTAATATTCTCAAGTACTAAAAATTAAAAGAAGTTGAAGAAACATCCACAATTCTGGTAGCATCAAACCAAAAATAAGTCAGTTATAAACACAAGCAAAGTCACCTCAATACTGTATATTACCTCCTTATTCAAATCGATGGCATTGATGCTGTCTATTCATGCATGTCTATGGAGATGCGCATATACATAGGCAGCACAGTATTTTCCCAGCATCCAACAGTGCTTTTATATTTAATGATCTTGTGAGGGTTTCCACTGCAAACCCATTTACACAGAGTTGTAACATGGCCATTTTAATTCTGCAGCATGGGGCAGGGCAGGGTATTTTCCTGCTAATATGCTCTGTTACGTTCTGCTCAGTTTGCATCTTAAAATGGGGAAAATTTTCTTATGTTTTTATTTGCAGTGTCATGACAAATAAATACTTAGTTTTATTATTTTTACATTAGCTGCAGAAGAGTAAGGACTGGAATGTCAGCTGGTATAAAACACTGGAGTGCAGCGTATCGCACACATACACACCCACCCCTTCTTGCTGCCTCTTCCATCTGCCCCATCAATGCAAGCTACACACAAACCACATCCTCAGCTGCCGTATAAGTGCGCACAGTGCCATGAGATCCATTTGTATCAAATGAGAAGCTATACCACCAGCTAAAACCGGAATGCCTTTCTGCTGAGTATATAAAGACCTGAATGCAAGAAAAACATGACCATAATTAAAAGTAAATATTTTGAACTGTTGATTTCCTACCCCAGCAAAAGGTGCACGAAGCAACATTGTCCTAAATGCCCAAATTCCTGCTTGTCACAACTAACAAGTACACCAGTGAGGAACAAAGTGAGGAACAAACTTCAGCACGTTAGTACATACATACAGCACCAGAACGACTTGCCCATAGCAGACCTCAAATGCAAAAAGTTTTATGTTTAATACCAAGAAAATTTACTAGCTACAGCTATGTGTTC